TGAGCTCACACGATCTGCCCGCCTCGGCCTCCCAGAGTGCTAGGATTACAGGCGTGAGCCACCGCGCCCGGCCTGCATTTTTAATGGCAACCTATTAATTGTGAACAGGCAGTACATGCACCTGGGACAAAAGGGCAGTCGAGGAAAAGCCTTCCACCCATGCCCAGATCCCCTCCTCCCTTCCACCGGCCTCTTGTGGATTCCCGGGAAGGCTGACCCCGCTGCTCTTGGCTGGAGAACTCTTCCACTCTGCGCAGACACAGAAGGCAGCGCTTTGCTCACTGCTGCGAGCACCTAGCCCCTTCCCCGCCCTAGCACTCTCCCAAGTGCTTTGAGTGTGTCAGTTGATTTAGTCTGCACAACAGTGCCTATGAGGTAGATACTGTTACCATTCCCAGGTTTAAGGTTGGGAGATAGAGGCAGAGTGAAGGTCAGTAACTTGCCCAGTGCTACCCAGCTGGGAAGTGGCAGAGCCAGCATTTGAACACCGGCAGGAAGCCTGGCATCCATATTTCCAACTACCATCTATGCTGCTTCCCGGCGAATGCTTGCTGACCGAAAGGTAAATGAATGCACAGATGCATGAACAAATGAACAACCGTACCCTGGCCCCTCAGGACCAAGGCGAGAAATTCTATTCTATCCCCGCCCTCCCTGTCATACATACTGTGACCTGCTATGTGAGACCTGGGGTCTCCCAGAAGAGCAGCAGCATGTTTCCCACACTGCTGGCTGCCCCTGGGCGCCATTGGAGGGTCACCCACCTTCTGAGCGCAGCATGGTGCCCATCTCCAGGGGAATGACGAGCAACGGGAAGACCCCACTGAGCCCCACCATGAGAGAACCCAGGAGGGAGCAGATCCAGGTGTCCAGCCTCTCCCCACTCAGCAGGGCCCCCCAGGACTCGCTTTCCTTGTTGTCCAGGCGACAGGCTGCTGCAGCCCCCCGGTTTCGGAGGGCTGGCTGGGAACCCCCAGCCCTTCCCAGGAGCTCCAGGGCAAGGGCAGTGAGGAAGAGGAGCCTTTGGCCTGCCATGCCACAGCCAGGGCAGGGACATCCAGGCATGCCACGTACTGCAAAACACAAAGGCCACTTACGTGAGCTGCCACCCTTGGCCGCACACCTGCTTAGGAAACGTGGCACCTCCCTCCTCCCCCCAAGTGGCCATGGCATCCACTCTCCTGCTGGCCTTGCCAGGGCATCCAAGGATCTGAATGGCGGGCACACAGCAAAGGGGCTCAGCTCCTGCAAGCTCCTACTCCCAAGGACCACACATTTTTTCCTTCTGAGACAGCTCCAGACTGTGTGTCAGCACGTCTGCCTGAGGCTAAACTTTCCCTAATGACAGGGTGAGGCGCTGGCTGGGCTCTCCTCAGCCACCGGCAGGCTGGCCCAGCTGGGTGTCTCTGGCTGCCAGGGGAGGCTTTGCTGCTGGAACGTTCTCCAAAGAGGATACCTAGGGACCGAGGTGGCACTGTCTAGGTGGATGGGGTGGCATTCGGAAGCACAGGTGGTGGAACTGAGCAGCTGAGCTAGGACGGGACCATCAAAGCTTCTTCCTAGTACATGAATCCAATGTCCCTGGGGCATCCGGGACAGGACGTGGGCTGATGAGAAAGGAGCCTTTAGCCAGGAGATGCCTCCCAGGTGCGCAGAGCGCAGGCTTTGGACACTGCAGTTAACTTTGTGCTCTGCACTTTCAGCTGCTTGGCTGTGGGCAAGTCCCTGAAGCCCCCTGTCCGAGCCTCAGTGCCCTCATCTGTGAGACGGGGATAATAAGCATTGCCTCCCTCGCACAGCTGCGCAGATGAGATGAACTTGAGCAGGTGGACGCGCTTGGCATGGAGGAGGCACAGAGAAGCCCCTCTTATGTTGGGGTAGGCCTGGGGCACCGGCAGCAGGAATGTGCCCAGCAGGGGTAATCACAGGATGTGGACATGAGTCAACCAAGCGAGAAGTTCAATCTGGAAACTTGGGCATGAAGTTTAACTGTGGTCTGCCCTGCCTCATCCTGGCTGTGACCTTGAGCTGATGTCCCTGCCTCAGTTTCCTCATCTGCTCATGAAGATGGGAGGGAGAGAAAGCAGCTGCCTCTGGGCCGTGGCAAAGATGCCCACGTCTAGGATCTCCAGGCCTTAACTAGCTGGAGGGAGACCCTGATGAAACCAGCGGCACTCCACTGGGGACCAAAGGCAGGACCAACGCAGGACCGAGCCAGGCCGAGACGGTCGCGCAGAGGCGAGGGGGTCACAGGCTTGGGCGATGGAAAGGGTGTACGAGGAGAGTCTGAGGGCAGAGGGAAAGGAGGGAGCAAGAGAGAGGGAGAGTCCAGAGAGAGCCAGAGTGGGGCGTGGGAAGGGGATGCGGACGCAGAGGGGGGAGCGAGAGAGATGGGAGCGGAGTGTGGGGACAGACAGCGGGGAAGAGCCCAAGGCAGGCAAGTTCAACTCCCGGGCTCTGGGAGAGGGCCCAGGTCTGACCAGGACGAGCCAGGGCGGATCGGGGGATCGCGCGGGTCCGTCCCGCCCGGGGCGCGGGCCCTGCGGGTCGGGCGGTCACTCACCGTGCGGCGGCAGCGGCGGCGCTCCGGGCGGCCCCGGCCATCCAGCTGCGGTGCCGCGCCCCGCCCCGGCTCTGCCCCGCCCGGCCGCCCGGCCCCCGGCCCGGAGCCGCCCCCGGCGCGCGGCCACGTCACACGGGGCTTGTCCGGAACCGGACGCGCCGCGCGCCGCTGGGCCAGGGGGAGCGGCGGTAGGGGGCGCTTCCGCCTCGCGGCCATGGGGGACGCGGGCGGAGAGCGCATTTCCGCCGGGGCCGGGCCGCGGGGCGGCGGGGAGAACCGGACGGAAGTGGGAGCTCCACAGGCCCCGCGCTCAGCCAGGCTGGGCGGGGCGGAGGCGGCGGCGGCGGCTCTGCGGGGATCGCGATCGGCCGGGCTTGCGGGTCTGGCCGCCGCTTCCCCTCTAGGGCTGCAGTTCCGCCCGCGGCCGCACGGGGGCGCGCTCGATTGCCAGACCGCGCTGCCCCGGGCCGGGCTGGGAGGATGGCTGTGGCGCTCCTACTCTGAGTCAGCCTGGCTCGGCTCCTCCATGAACAAGGGAAAGGGGAAGTGCCTGCCGCAGGGAGGGGCCTGGCCCCGGGAACCTCAGAAGAGGGAATTTTATTCTTACTCATCGAATTATTTTTATGCTTTGGTTTTTCACTGGGAACCTCAGGCCATTGTCTCCAGGACTTGTAACCCTTTGGGGTCCAATGCATGGTGGCTGGATCCTGCTGCTCAGAACTCCAAGCTTGGAGCGGTGAGGGCTCTGTGCACCCCTCACCTAGAGGTAGCTACGCCTGACCTTTTCTCTTAGTCTAAGACAGCAAACAATTGACGGCACTTATTAGTATAACTGCAATTTACTGAACACCTACTATGTTCCATTAACTCTACTTGCCATTCATCATCTCACTGAATCCTCATTTTATCCCATAGAGGTAGGTACTGTTAACCCAGGGTCACGCGATGGCACAGATGGCAGAGCTAGGACTCAAACCTGGGTGTCCCTGAACCCAGGGTGTGAGATACCACCTCTCACTTCTAGGGCCTGAACAGCAGTGGGAATCTGGCCTGGCATTTTTACTTTGTATCCTTCTCTGGCAATCAGCCAGGACAGGAGGATATTCAGGAAGGGACATGTGGGTACTTACCTGGGGAGAGATTGTGACCGAGTGGGGGAGTCTCTGAGTCTCTGACCCTCCATCAGCCCCCCTGGCAGCTTCCTCCATTTGTTCTGCACCACTTTCCCCTCTACTGGGGACTCTGAGGGCACACTCAGCTCTCATATGCTGCATCATGGTACCTGTCCCACCTCATACTCCAATGTCTGCCCTTCCAAGACCCCCAACTCCTTCTAGGTGGACCAGTTTGTCCTCTGAAAGTTTCCTGTCTACCTCGCCTCACCAGGCCCGTAGATCTGTCAGAATGTCCTATCTCCTCCCTGAGTTCTGAAATGGAAGCCCCACTTAATGGGTTAGTTACTTTGCAAAAGAGAATACTTGGGGATGCTTGCCTGGGACATTTAAAAAGCCCCCCTACATGCAAATCACTCCATCATATGCAAAGCACTTCACAATATGCAAATGATTTCACAATAACACAGTCAGCATTCCTGCCTCTGGGGGCTGAGGGCTCCTGGCCACCCGGCAAGGGGATGGGCAAGACCCAGCCAGAAATGGCACTTGCCGCCTACTGACCTGGCCTGGAATTCCCAATATCAGATGCCCTAATGCAGCAGTCCCCAACCTTTTTGGCACCAGGGATTGGTTTCACGGAAGACAATTTTTTCATGGACTGGGGAGGGGGATGGATTCGGGATGATTCAAGCGCATTACATTTATTGTGCAGTGAAACCTCCCTGCTAATGATAATCTGTATTTGCAGCCGCTCCCCAGCGCTAGCATCACCGCGTCAGCTCCACCTCAGCTCATCAGGCATTAGATTCTCATAAGGAGCGTGCAACATAGATCCTTCGCATGCAGTTTACAGTAGGTTTGTGCTCCTGCAAGAATCTCATGCCGCTGCTGATCTCACAGGAGGCAGAGCCAGAGTGATGGGGAGCTGCTGTCAATACAGATGAAGCTTGCTTGCTCACCTGCTGCTCACCTCCTGCCGTGCAGCCCCATTCCTAACAGGCCATGGACTGGACCACTACCGGTCTGTGGCCTGGGGCTTGTGGACCACAGCCCTAATGGATTAAAGCAACAAGCACATTGGACGGTGAGATGGGGCCAGGAGTGGGGAGGGCCATGTGAAAAGATATGGTGGCAGGGACTAATGTGTGGCTGTTTAAAGCACTGAATTAGATCTTCCAGGAGCTTCCAGGTACACAAGAGAAAAGTGAGATGCAGAAATGTTTATTTAATATGATCCACATTTTAAAATAATGACAAAAAGAAACTTTATATATGTGTATGTGATTATAGGTATTAGTATACATAACTCTATGTATAACTATGAATAAATAAAAAATAATAGGCTGGCATGGTGGCTCATGCCTGTAATCCCAGTTCTTTGGGGGACTGAGGCTGCAGGATCGCTTGGGCTCAGGAGTTCAAGACCAGTCTGGGCAACACAGTGAGATCTTGTCTCTACAAAAAAATATTATTAAAAATTAGCCAGGCATTGTGGCACATGCCTGTAATCATAGCTACTCAGTAGGCTGAGGTGGGAGGATTAATTGAGCCCAGGAGTTCGAGGTTACAGTGAACTGGAATTGTGCCACCGCACTCCATCCTGGGAAAGAGAGGGAGACCCTTTTTCTTAAAAACAAAAACAAAAACTCATCTCATGAAATCTCAATATATATATATAAAATCTCTGTGTCTGTGAGCTAGGCTGACGCCACGGCACTCTACCCCGGGCAACACAGTGAGACTCTATCTCAAAAAAAAAAAAAAATCTCTGTGTCTATCTGTCTCTCTCTCTGGCCTAGCTTGGTGGTTAAGACAATAAGACTCTGATGCCAGATTTCTTGGGGCAAATTACTTAAAACCTTATGCCTCAGTTTCCTCATCTATAAAATGGATTCCTTTATCAGATTGTTTTATTTTTATTTTTTAATTTAAAAAAATTTTGTAGAGACAGGGTCTCACTATGTTGCTCTGGCTGGTCTCAAACTCCTGGCCTCAAGTGATCCTCCCACCTCAGCTAAGATTATAAATGTGAGCCACCACACTCACCTTGTATTGGATCGTTGTTGTGAGGATTGCATGAATGAATATACACAAAGTACTTAGAATGATGCCTGACATACGGGAAGTTTTATATAGGGTCAAATATTATTTCCATGGCATTTATATGAATATGTATGTATAAAGAAAATGTTAAAGCAATGAAAAGAACTGATAAATTACAGACACAGACGTAGGGTAGGACCCACCCTCTCTCTTCTTGCTCAGCACAAATGAGTGTTTTCTGACACATTTATCAATTGGTTTGGAGGCCTCAGGAATTGAGACGGCGGACAGACAAACCTCAGCAGGGCAGGATGGGCCTGGAAACTGCTTGGTTCCCAGTGACCAGGAGGTGTCTGGGATCCGGGAACAGCAGATCTGTTTCTCTGATTTCACTGTGACGCCCACGATCTGGCTTTAATAGCTTGTTCCTGTCTTTTGTACCTTTACTGGGGGCCTCTGGGGAAACCAGAACTCAGCCCTTTAAACCCAGAAGGTGATACTGCCCCCTGGGCCTGCAAGACTGGCCTGGCCTGGCCATGGCCAATGCTCTGACAACCTGCTCTCCGCTGTGATGGTCCAGGGCTGGAGACTCTGGGGCTGGGGACGGATGCTTCCAGAGTATGGCCTCTGGTGAGAAAGCAGGCCTCCTCGTCACAGGGCTTTCTGTGGGGGCCAGCAGGCAAGCAGCAATCGCTTACAGAAGGCATCTTGTGCTCCGGGTGGTGAGCACCTTGCCCAAGGTCACAGCTGGAAAGAGACAGCCAGGTGCTCACCCAGGGCTACAAGCTCTGCCTCTCCACAGGGGACATGCCCCTCTGGAACCTTGACCCTAACCCTCTCCCAAGAAGTTCTCTCCAGAGCAGCCTTAGCTCCCTCGTGAGTTCCTGGGGTGCCTTCTCCCCTGAATCCTGAGCCCTGGCCAGATGATGCCTGAGTGATTCTGGAGGGCCTCCCTCCTCTTCCTCTGCTACTCTGCAACTCTGTCATGTACAGCACGGCTTTCTGTCCAGCCTCTGTGCCGTGGCAAGCACTGTAGCCCCAAGCAGGCCTGGGATGTCCTTCCCCTTTCGCCATCTGTCGACTGAAATCCAGCCCGTTACAAGGCCCCCTCCTCCCTGCAGCCCTCCTGATCCATCCAGCCTGAAGGCCGTCAGTGTCAGTGTGTCTTTGGGGCTCTTAGCCCTGTTCCCTGTATACCCAGGCCTCTTCCCCTGCTGGGTGTGGGCTCCTGGAAAGAAGGACAAGCTTTTGCCCGTGCTCTGAATAAAAGTCTATCCAAATCAATTTAATGTCTCCCTTTCTCCCCTCCCCTATCTCAGGTGTGCAAACTGGGATGAAATCCTAGTGTATAATGCACTGTCATCTTGGCCCTTGCAGGACTCTCCTTCATATAATTTGTTTGTTTACATATTTGCTTACTTGTTACCCCTCTCCCATCCCATCTCTCTGCCTCCTTCTTGGGGGAACCTGAATTTTATGATGATCAGTCCTTTGCCTTTTTTTTTTTAGAGATGGGGTCTTGCTATGTTGCCCAGGCTAGTCTGGAACTCCTGGGCTCAAGTAATCCTCCCACCTTGGCCTCCCAGAGTGCTAGGATTACATACAGGCTTGAGCCACCGTGCCCTAGACTGCTATTTTTTTAATAAAGATTTTTCTCACATATATATGTATGCCTAGACAATATTCTGTTTGATTTGACTTTTTTTTTTTAAAGACAGAGTCTCTGTCACCAGCTGAAGTGCAGTGGTGATATCATAGCACACTGTAGCCTTGAATTCCTGGGCTCAAGTGATTCTCCTGCCTCAGCCTCCTGAGTAGCTGGGGGAAGAAGTGAGTGCCACCACGCCTAGCTAGTTTTTTTTATTTTTTGGGTTTTTGTAGAGATGGGGTCTCGCTATGCTGCCCAGGGTTGATTTGGTTTATTTTATTAAGGGAAAAAAGTTGTTTTAAGGTTTTCTTTTACATTTAGTGAATTTTACAGTGGCTTTTA